TGTAGTCAGCCGCGGGTCAGTTGCAGCAGCGGCTGAATCAGGACTCCTGGGGCAGAGCAGCTGGGGTGCTGCCGGGTTGGTCCAGTAGCGCAGAGGAGCGGCGCTGTGGGACCAACCCGGCAGCACCCCAGCGGCTCTGCCCCCGGCGTCCCCAATTCAGCTGCTGGTCAGTTTCAGCAGCAGCTGAATCGGGGAAGCCGGGCGCAGAGCAGCTCCAATTGTCCGGCTGCCCGGAGCACTTCCGGGTTCCAGATGGTGCCGGACCATCAGGAGTGCCGGACCATTGGATGACGGACCAGTGGAGTTTTACTGTAAATCACTGTAAAAATACCCTTGAGTGTTTACAGAAAATGTAAAATCTTTACCTTTCATACAACTTAAATGCACATTTAAATAGAGACACAAACAATTCATGGATGAAGAGAAGTAAGCCTTTTATGGTGTATATATATCATACCCAAAGTCTTTAGATGAAGTTTTATTTCCTCTTTCTTCATCTTTGCTACATATTCTCTGATGTGTTTCTTCTGGTGTTTTTTGACAATTAGAAGCTTCTTCAATGTGCTTTTTAGTACAGTTTTCTCTTAATCGAGTTGACTTTTTTAATGTACATGAAGTTGTTTTGGTAGTTTCTACACCTGAGGTATTCTCTACTGAACATGAATTTCCTTCACTAGCTTGTTCGTCATTAGCGGCAACATTCCTGCAATCTGAAATTAGCAAGTCCTGGTTTTTCTGGTCATCTACAAGCTGTGACAAAAAGAATTTTTTCAAATTACTGGTAGTCATTATATTAAAAGGAATGCTGTTTCTGGATTATGACATGCAGTGCTAAAAGCAAAGTGTCATTTAAGGTATATAGGTAAACATGGATAAAGAGCAAATGAAGCCCGGGAAATTCAAATCCCGGGCTTCATTTGCAAGTGCGGTATGCCTACATTACCCCGCTAGTTCGAACTAGCGGGGTAGTGTAGACATACCCCTAGTGTGGTTCACTGTCCCATGTAGTGGCACTTAGACCACGTACAGTGAAAGGATAGGAACAAGGGAGCTCTACAGCCTAAGATGAGAGCCAGCTGGCTTTATAGCTCAAGCTGTAGAGGCTCCTAAACTAAGGTCCTGGCTTCAACTCTACCTGGTGGCAGTTACACAGTTGTCTTCCCTAAAGATATAGACCAGAATCTTAACTGCAATACTGAAGAATGACTGGAAGCAAAACTACACTAGAAAATTAGGTTGGTTTAATGATGTTGGTCAAAAGTGTGAAAAATCCACATCCTGAGCTGAACAGTGAATCTACCCTAAGTCACTGTGTAGCCAGCTCTAGGTTGTCTGGAGAATTGTTCCATCAACTTAGCTATTGTTTCTTGGGGAGGTGGATTACCTACACTACTCCTTTTAGAGCAGGTAGTGTTGACACTGAAGCATCACAATGTTTTAAGTATAGACAAGCCCATATACTGAGCTCCAAGCAGCCACTCTACAGACATCAGAAATGAATACTTTATTGAAACAAGCCTTGTAAGAGGTCACAATTCTGATGGAATGAGTCTTCTGGAACTTTGAAATTATCTCATTTATTGTACGCTTCATTATACTTAGGATTATTTTGTGTTATTAATAAAATATCAGGTTTTTCAGTATACTTCACACTGCTCTGGAGAAGCAAAACAGCTGTAAACTATCTTAACTAGATAACAATAACCAGGTTTATTGTTGATTTATAGCACCAAAATTATGCTTCCTAGGAAGCTGGAGCATAACAGTGAATCTGGCTCAACACTTGTAAGGGAGGTCTATTGCTCTCAATAAAATAGGGTTTCCTCCTGCTACCACTATTCCTCTTTTCCTCAAGATCACTTGGACAGGAGATTCAAGTGGTTCTTTTCTTTAATGTCCCTCTGCCTCTGTGCTTCTAACCTGCTATGGATCCTCTCTGCAGGATGACTGCTGTGTAAGGATAACAGCAGTGGACAACTTGAATTCATCAGGGCAGGAAAGGAAAAAAGACCACTGGTAACCTCCACCCACATGAGCGTCTCAAAGGGAGAAGAATTATACTGAAATAATGGCTTGTCCTCAACATTTTTCCCTCAGTAAATTCTCCCCCCCCCCCCCCCACCACACAAACTCACACATATAACCATACATATATAACAATCCTTTCAGCTAATCAAGCTAGTCATTCTACAGGCAAGAAAAGACATTATTTCTATTTTTACATATCTGTGAGATGCTTGACTCTACGGTATCTAACACTGCAAAGTACATGAAGCAAGAAGACAAAATTTATTGGGATTTCTCCATTCTATAAGTTCAATTACCGTATATTCCGGCGTACAAGACGACCTCTGAAGTTAAAAAACATCCCCCAAAAATCGGGGGTCGTCTTGTATGCCGGATGCCCCGCCGCCGGAGCCCCTCCGCGGCTTTGAAAGCCTCGGGGGAAGCCGGCGGCGGGGCATCCCAGGCGCGCATGGGCTGCCCCCCCGCCGGAGCCCCTCCGCGCCGCTGGTAGCGCCAACCCTTGATGCTGCCAAACCCAACCGGCAGC